TGCAATTTCGAATGAATTGTCTAGCAATTAGTTCATTTTCAAATTGGAATAGTATGGGACAGTCATAGCGTATAAACTTTTTACGTAGCCTAGTGCAGCTGGACCAACAAGTTTGCATGCCGCACGCAGACAGTAGAACTCTCTGAACAGTATGTGCCACCTCGTGAGAAAAAATCAACACTTGCCGCCTCAGCTTTGTCAAAATCACGGATACCTACGAGTAAACACCTCGTATCACGTGTAGCCTTACTAGCTTCTTCGCGTGGATTCCAGGCTGATTAGTTGGGCTTTTGTTTGTGAGTTATTGGCGTGCCATTCGTGCTACGATCAATCTACGCAGGAGCTTATCACAATGTTGTTCTCACGTCAATCGCCCCCAAACCCGACCCTACGGTAGGCCATTAATATCGAAAGTAATGTTCAAGAGATCATCCTCGCCTGTCTTGCGTGGCAGAAAGACTGCCCTTCGATTCTGTTTCTTTAGTGTGTGGTTTATTGTGCAATTATGCCCCTAGAGGCACCGCGCACATTGGGCCAACTACCCTGGAGTGTTTTTTGAATCATTCGGAGATAAATCACTGACTCTTAAGACCAAACCGCCGCGTGTAGAAAGTCTAGACGGTAGTGAAACATACCATCTCTACCGTCGGGTACTCACATCCCGATGGCGTTGAAACCCTGCTGGTGTATCCGACAGCTCTGTGCAGTAATAACAAAACCTTTCCGGTCCCGACAAAACGGGAATGGATAAAATGGACATTTCCCCCGGCGATCGGTAACTTCAGTTGGATACACATTCTCCGTTTCCTTTAGAATGCGACCGAAGCGGCACCGGCCTTCTGCAGTCCAAGCGTATTTTTTTACACCGTCTCAGCAACTGGGAACAGTGAGGCCAAATCGTCGAATTCATCAACAAAATCCGTTGTAGTAACCTGTGCACCCCAAAGACATCATGAGAACGCGTATTAACGTTGGAAATGGAGTGAAATAAACCGCATTTTGCTCAAGGAGTCGCCACAGTTTACATTGCCCAATATTATTACCAAGCAACGTCATGGATTTCTTTACAAATCGAGGGTTCGGCCAGTTTACACCTAGGCTTGACAATTGAATTAGTGGACACCTTGCTTCGAGATGATAGTAATAGTTTTTCGATGTGCAGTACGCCCAGACATCGTCCGGGCATACGGCCAGGTTATCTAAACCATTCTTTGGGCGCATCAATCAGATTCCGAAAAGTAAACAAGGCTCCAAATAAACCCAGCGACATCTTATTAGGTTGACATTGTTTTTAGACTTGCGCAAATGTATTTTTCAGTTACACGTCTTGTCGCCAGACGTCATCGTGAGAATAGCTTTGACTGTTGAAATTTGTCAAACATAAATGTGATCGATGACATCGGGAAGAAGCAGTGCAGGGATTCAATTTCACATTTTGATGTTTATAAGGAAGCGACAGTCTTGTTGGCCTTTCTCTACCAAAAACTACTAGCGAATTGTACTGGTTGGGAGTCTTTCCGACATTTGCATTTGCTCATGCACTTCATGACGCAAGTGTCTAGGTATTTTTCGGGGTCGTGGTAATCGATACACCTGTCGGAGTAGAGGAATAGAGCGCTCGATCCAATGGCAAAACCCATACGGGCTAATGTGGTCCGTAAAGAGGAAGTATTTACTGGTGAGCGGATACGAGACCAGGGTTGCACGTAATACAGCAACAGCCGAGACCAAGAGGATGGTTCTTTTGCGGTTTGTAAATGGAAACAACCCGTATCCGATTAATAGCCTCCGTTGTTTGTAGTAAGCGACAACCTTATGTAACCAGAGAAAATCTGCCCCAGGTTGATTTGCTCCGCGCCGGATGACACGATGAAGGCGTGATTCAGCTTCCGTTCATTGACTCCAACATGATGTCACGGCAGTTATGTGCACCTCGCAACTCTCAACCACCCACATACTAGAGGAAAAGGACTAAATTTGCTGGAAACCTCAGTAACTTGCTGGGGAAACAGGCAACCATAGTAATCAAGCCTTTCCATTGGACTAAACACTCCTACCATCGCTTCAAGCGCATCTGCAATCAGCGCCAGGAGTACGTAACCCTCAATATAAGAAAGACCGTACGGTTGCGGTTAGGTTGCCGATTCTATTGCTCTGGGTTTTACATTGGAACAACACACCTTCAACCACCTTTGAGTGCCGAACGCAATGTGCTGATGCATTATGGTAGCTGCACCAGCATTTCATCCGCTTCCGGAGCGGCGGTTGATGACTCGGTCATCTAGCGGACTATCTAGATAAGACTGTCTACACGCTTTCCTGAACGGTGATCGCAACCAAGAATCGTTCTGCGTTCATCGATATGGGATCGTCAAGAAACTGGCCTTCAACAACTGCTGTACTGAAGCTTCATCCAGCGTTAACAAGGCAGTATCAGGCAGGCTCCGGATATGAAATACGAACACACAGGATGTAACTTTGCTCCGAAGCTTGGACTGTCAAAGCGCCGCTAAATGGGAGGCCGGGCTACTGGATTCCGCAAGCATGGCTCCATTTACCGCGGCCTACCCCAACATGACAGTCTCAGCGAACCACTTTTGGGACCACCCACAGTTTGCTCTTGATATATATATATATATATATATATATATATATATATATATATATAAAATCACAATCTGGTGCCCCACGCAGAGGCAGATGTTGCATTCATGCTTCCCCACCGCAGTTGGGCTAAACCAACTTACACTTAAACCATGTCTTTTTACGCTGAATAAACTTCATTCCACTTCAATTGGTTTGTTCTGCCTACCTGATCAATTTTCTATTAACTTGCACACGGTGCTTACGCTAATTGAGCTTATCTTCGTTAAGTTTATAGCGTTTGTAGGATTTTTAAAGTAACCTCTGGACGTCATCGCGGATTCATTGATAACCAACTTACTTTATATGCTAATTTAGTGAAGAGTTATGTCTGCAAAGCCGTATGCTTTAACACATATTTTATTTGATAATGTCATTTCAAGTGATTGGCTGTTGCTCGATATCTCCGGTGTGGCTGCGTTTGATGTGCATGTTGACAAGGTGCCTACCTGTGTATTACCCGCTACGTCGTCCACACTGGCTCCAGCAGACAGTTGGTCGTTGCTAGAAGGGACGAGGTGCACTGTCCTTGTGACGGTGTTAGACTCAAAGTGTGGTTCCATCTTGTGTGGAACGGGGTACGGTCCAGCCCCCGTCCTGTTCATGATTTCCCAATTAGGCCAGAATGCTTCCGTTCTGCTTGTTGAAGGATTGTGGGCCAACTCCGTTGATGGAAGGTGGCTCACGTCCACATACCTCCCGGTCTTATTCCTTCGAGTTTACAACAGATGAGGTGTGTGGGTGAAACTATGGGTGGTGCGGCGCAAGCCACCTGTGGTCCCTCTGTAGGCGCATGCGTCCTGCGGCTGTCCCAATGGAGGCCACAGTGACGGGCTAATCCGGATACGGATGCTGCCAATCCATATAACAATCTGTGATACAGGTATTGTGCCATCATAATCATGGCGGAATAAGAAAACAGGATAAGAATAGGAGAAAAAGAATATACCAAATCTTTCACCAGTGTTTTCATTCACAGTTTTTGAGTTTTCTATTGTTCATTTTGTTGGTGCAGTGAAGGAAAATCACCGCAAGACGCAGTGATACACGTGCGCCATTGACTTCCAGGGTCTGCAACCGGAGAAACTCTGTATCTCTAAAATCACGACCAGGAAGTCGAGAACAACCGACCGTGGCCAACCGTTTCGTCGGGTTTTCCATTTGGCTTCTACATGTTGTAGGTTGTCCACCGCGTCGTCTCCTCCAGTCCTGTTCAGCAACCGCGAACAACGCCCGACATGGAAGACGATGAGCGGGCATGCACAGTAGGTGTCCAAGCTGCGGCAGCTGACGCAGCGGGACGAGCTCCTCGTGCAAGTGGCTGCCTATACCCAAGACACGCTGTCTAAATGCCACATTGGTTACGTGGTGCAGCCACCACACACGGACAATGGACCGCAAGCAACTGTGGTCAAAAGCAGAGAGACGGCGCAGCTCAACGGTACAAATAGGCCAAATGTTGCAACGGTACAACAGTACAGCGTGGACAGTCGTGCAATAAACCCGCCCAATGATGGATAGACGTATGTCATGGCGGTGCCACAAGTGCCTCAGCTTAGAGAAAGCGAGGCGAACTCTTGAGATACGCAACGAAATCTCGTCGCCAACAGCTGCAACGTTTGTGATACAAGTTCCCAGGTAGGTGAAACTCTCCATAGCCTCTAGTGTCTTACTATCAGGAGTGGGTTTGCTCTCGAGGAGACTGCAAAGAAGCCAACTTTACCAATTTGGCCTGTACTCCAGTCGCTTCCGCTAAGACTTCGAGTACCTTCAAAAGGTTTCGCATATCGCAATCTTCAAACGGCTCGGGCCAGGAGATCTTTACGTTCTTTCTTTACAGTTACAAGAACAAGCCATAAAAATGTGACGTGGAAAAGTGGCTTATGGAGTCCATGAGTGTTCACAAGGTACATCAGCCTTCACTTAACAAGGCAAAAGGCATTTGTATGTCACTCCACTGCGCCGTGGTTGTGATTTCAGGACGTCGGTTTTCTTGACGCAACACTGTACTTTATCGTAGGCCTCTGGGGCGGTCCGTGGTTGGCTAGTTCCAATCCGATTTATCCGTTCGTACTACACTGCTTACTCATGGTGCACCACACCATGACTAGTACAGTACTTTGCCAGAGAACGTGCATACACTCCTCCGCAAGTTCTACTTATTATCCCATGACATCTTAACCTATGGTCAAAAATACAACTTCATGGAAAAACAAGACGAGGTTGACAAAGCAACTGAAGTCACAGACATGAATTGGGAAGAGCTTGAATTCCAAAATTGTTTACATGCAACGTATATTAACGACAGAATAAGGCCTAGGAGCGAAAGAGACCGGAAGTAAAATTACACCACTTACATGTACAGCTCTCCTTGAAATAAGAAGCACACTTGAACTTTCCTGAAACCGGGACATATTCCTCCCCTGATTCCTTGCACTTATTGTCTAAAAACAACTAAAGTGCTACAAAGGACACCAACATCTCAGCAATGCCTGTTGAAATCGACGGCCCTTAAAGTGTAGGAGCAACTGATCAGGATCCCTGTTGATATATCGCCAAGTCAACTTACAAAACAAACGATTCCTGCCAAAAGAGATTCGATAAATCTGTCGAAAATGTGACACAAACCCGCCAGCATCCACAATGTATTCGCTGTGATCTTCAATCAGTCGGTTAGCCTGTGCGCGCCTATATTTGTTACAGGTGAGATACTGAGAAATGATTTCAAAGTTATATGGCATTTCGTGCATGGTGTACAAGCATTTGACCTAAAAAAGACAGTTGGGAGCCCAATGGAAAAAACATTTACCCGCTTTTTATCCGGAAGAATAGCGAGGGATTCTGTAGAGTATATGAGCTCCTCTAGACGACTGTCCATTAGTGTAAAAGAAGCTTTATGCCAAATGAGGAGCTAGTGCGAGTCAAGGATTCTGATAAGTTCGAGGATACATGATGTGGCTTTGGAGCGGGTCTACAAAATAAGGAGCAGCAAAAAGAGGACACATAACTGCAAAGTGGTGTAAAAGTGGTGGATTCTCTACAAAGGCATCGTTAGACCTACCTAAATGAAAATGACGTTGCTGTGAATACAGCGCGAGACTCGTAGAGTAGAAATGGACATGTTAGAAGCCCTAAGTCCAATGGTCGGTACTACTTCCGATCAGCCTAATTTGAAGGGAGACCAGGCAGTGATACAGCAGTCGTCTGGCGGACGAAAAGACTGCATGTTTGCATGATAATCCAAAGATCACCGGTCTGAATCCGCGTAAATGCGCGCGATCTCGCAGTAGGCCCAGGACTCGTGCGAGTGGCGGCGAAGCATCGCCGCCTTGCCTTTTCTGGTGCAGCAGAAAACCGTGATCGAAATAAGCCAGAGGGTGAATGGCAAAACTAGGAAAAGTGCCTGATGCCTACGTTTCGATATATATGGCGCCGGAGCGAGAGCGATGAGCAAGGAAGGTAACGCACAAGTTCCCAGTCGGGTCGGGTAAAAAGGCGTTGTCGGAGACCGTGAGTTGCGACATCGGGTTTAGGGCGGGGCAGATGAAACAAGCCATTGCGAATCATTAGTTGTTAGACACCAGCAGTATGCCAGTACGAAGTACCGATGTTTAGCTGCCGCGCAACCACCATTATATATATATATATATATATATATATATATATATATATATATAGGGTGGTGGTTGCGCGACAGCTAAACATCGGTACTGCGTACTACTGGTGCCTATCAACTAATGATTCGCAATGGTTTGTTTTCTCTGGGAATCAATCGCACACAAAACGGTGACTGGACTGTGGTCCGCTCCACAATGAGCGCATGGAACCGCTCTTTGAGCCTAGCACGGCCACGAAAACCGTGCACTCCGTCCCCTGCAGCAACGATCAACTGTCTCCTGGAGCCAGTATGGATGAGAGGGTGGGTAAAAGACAGGTAGGCACCTTGTCAACATGCATATCAAGCGCAGCCACACCGGGGATGTCGAACAACAGCCAATCACTTGAAATGACATTATCAAATGAAATATATGTTAAAGCATACGGCTATGCAGACATAAGTCTTCGCAAAATTAACATATGGAGTAAATTGGTTAGCAACGAATCCGCGATGAGTACGAAATGTCCACAATTTACTCAAGAAATTCTACAAACGCAATAAAGTTAACGAAAATAAACACAATTAGCGAAGGCAACGTGGCCAGTCAATAGAAGATTGTTCAGGTAGGCAGAGCAAACCAAATAAAGTAGGAAGAAATTTATCCAGCGCAAAAAGACCTGGTGTAAGTTGGTTTAGCCCAATTGCCTTGTAGGTCAGGCTACTGGTGGAGTCCCTCAAGCAAAGCTCCGAAATACAATTACGACCACGGGTGCCATTGCCCACCAATGCGATCGTATGCCTGCGTGCAAAGCACTGAACATCGAGTGGTGGAGCGTGCGTACACTACCGGGCCGGAACTCGAGTGAGCGCCCTGAGCAACGCAACGAAATGAGAACGCCAAGACCAGCCGGACCGAGGGATTCTGATTCGGACTGTATGAGAGTACAGCGCAGTAAGTAGGTTGTAGGTAACTACCAACTTAACAACATTGGAGATGCTAATTAAGGTTAATTAACACAACTCAAACGATTCCAGTGCACGGTCCAACTTGTCGGTGATCCAATACGGATTCACGTTTTGATCTCTACTCGAGTTCGATCTCCAATTGTAGATCGAGCCATTCTTGTGCCACTGCTCTCGGCTTGATCGCTGATTATAAGCTTTCTAACCGTAAAAGTAAGTGTTTTATGTTCACTAAGGGACCGAACATAGCCAGTCTGTATAAAGAATCTCATCTCAGAAAACTGGACCGATTACATGGCTCAACGCAACTGCTGTGTGCAAGTGGTTCACGAAGGAAAGATATATCAACAATGGCAGACGAAACGATTTTGCTCGAACTAATATCTTTACATACATGGCAAGGACGTTGGTAAAGTGCATGGCGGAATCGCGCCACTCGCTACAGTTGGTGGATAAACGCGAGAGGCGATGCACACCTTACGAGTTAAATATCCATCTGCCTTCCAGTGTATACCGGGTACAAATACCTTTTCTGCTCCTATCACTGTACCATCGAGTTTATTTGACATAACTTTCACTGTAGACGCGCGTATACACAGCACTTGTGGAACGGATAAGATTCATCGGAAACTACCGCAAATAGCAGTCCTGAACCTAATGGAATCGCTGAGCAGATACTTTCAGAGTTGATGAGACGAGCTTGTAGCCCTGTCGAACAAGCAGCATCACCCATATCCACAACGGAGGAAGTCAACCTGAGTATGTTTTTCGTCAACATCGATCGTGTACCACGGACTTAATAATTGAACAGAACAAGTGGAATGAAGCAGCGGACGAACGAACAATCAACAAAATCAACAACAGCAGTACATCAGCTATTTGAATTGATGCATCGCTGCCATACAACCATGATGACCTATGAAATAAAGAATAATAAGAGGGAGAAAAGGGGGACTTACCTGAAAACCTTAACGCCCTAAGCAAACTTTTAGAGTCAAGGCACCTACACCTTGTGTAGACAACATATCGTCACAAACAACTGGCTATCGTACATAGATAAGGCGGCATCGGCGAGATAGCTTCCTTACACCTTTCAATGCCCCGCGTCATAATCAGCCATTATCCCGCAGGTAACTTAACACCAAACACACTTTAAAGGAGACGGTAGCAGAATCGCCACTGGTGTCGGTTGCGAGCCATATTCTGTAAAGTCTCGAGCCAAGCACAAGATGAGTCACTTGGACTCCAGCGCGGAAGGCGAGACGGACCAACGGCACCCAGTTTGGTCGTCAGTGCCATCCGACACCAGCAACGCTTCGCAGACAACGAGGATAAAAGACTTAAAGGCTCATCAGATCTCCAGACCGAAGCGGTCAAGATTCACTCTCATACAGCAGAACGGCCCTCACTGTGGCCTTGTATACACGGCTTTTCGAACAGAGAGAAACTCCATTCTGTTGCCAAAGATGTCGCAGATTCAAGTAGGCAACTCTGGCCTTTGCAACGCATGAGCTGACGTCAGTTTTTATGCGCCCATCGTCGTTGATGCAGCTGACAAGATAAGTGAATGGATCAACCACCTCGAGTTTCTCGTCAGCAAGGGTCGAGGGTCATAAAGTGGCTGGTGGTACTGCAGCAATACTTCGTACTTTGAAGTTGCGAAGTGCATACCAAATAACAGAGCCACTCTCGACAGGCTATTCAGGGTTGTTTGTGCCGCCGCAACATCGTCGAAAAGCAAGACGATATTGTCCGCATAATCAAGAGCACCTAATCTTTCACTAGGCAGCACTTTAACGCCCACATCGTGAGATTCGGCAAGGGAACATTCCATGAAAGAATCTACGACGAAATGGAAAAATGTGGAAATCGGACAACCTTGACGAACGCCACTTGTGGTCGGAAAACTATCCGATAGGCCACTGTAGACCCTGACGAGGCCTGTAGTGTTCGAGTAGAAAGCACGTAGGATGTTCACATATTTCGTGGGAACACCTTTCCGCGCAAGTATTTCGAACAGAACTGATCGATCGACTGAACCGAATGCACTTTTGAAATCGAGGAACACAGCTATTGTCGGTCTGCGGTATGCGTGGCGCTGCTCTAGCACCTGCCGCAAAGTGAATGTATGGTCTATACAGCCAGGTCTTGGGCGGAAACCGGCATGCTCTTCTCTAATCCGAGATTCCTGTTCCACAGTGAGGCGACGGATGAGAGTCGAGGCCAGTAATTTTGTCACAACTGGTGTTAGGCTAATACCCCCTGTGGTTAGAACAGTCTGTGACTGCCCTTCTTGTATATTGCCACTATTCGCTCCAATTAGCCGGAACATTCTATTCCTTCAAGAGACGGTCGAATAGGGAGGTCAGTGCTTTGCAGAGGACCTCACCTTCATCCTTAAATAATGCAGGGGAGAGGGAATCCGGGCCAGCGGCAAGAAAAGGGTTGAGGGCTGTGATCGCGTTTTGGACCTCGCCCTCCGATGGAGGCTCTAAACCGTCCATGGCTCGTTCTCTATCACCTGAGTAGAAATAGGTCCGGGAACAGGGGGGCCAGCTGAACTGATGATGAAAATGTTCCGCAAAATCGAAGCCATACGGCGCTCCTTACTGTGTATCAGTGCGGCCGCGCTGTCTGTGATTGTCTCAGTGACGCCTGGTTTCCTAAGACCAGTGGTGCGGATTAGCTGGAAGAGCTTGCGGTAATTGTCTATTTCTCCTGTCTCCTCCAGTTATTGAGCCCGACTGGTCCACCAGGCTTCCTTGTCAGCACGTAGGCCCCGCTTTAGTTCGCGCCTAATAGCCCGTTTGTCACATTGTGATCAAAGCCAGCCGGGAGGTTTCTTCTAGATTCCAACAGTTTCACAGACCTCTCGGATATCTAGTGACTGGTGCGGTGACCATTGATACTGCTAAAAGCAGATGCTCCTGCGTCGTGTAGGAGCACGATAAGCAGCAGTTATCGATGGAGATGGTCTCTAATGTTCGGGAAAGTGAAGACTGCTGGCCGATCTGTAGCAATGTGCGTACATTGAGGCATGCCAATCGGAAGGTGGATCAATGGCTCCAAATGGAAGCCGATGAACTGAGGTGGACCGCTTGGTTGAACGCGGGCTTGTCAACAGGACAGGAGTAACGCTCCGCGTTCACATGTGAGTTGAAACTGGAAGATAAACGCCCAGCGAAGTATGTTCGAGGAGGGCCAAGAATCCGGAAGGATTGAAAACTGAAGGGATAAAAGTGAAGTTGGTACGGGACCATAAGGGTGAAAGAGTAAGAGGGGTGAATAAGAAGACGGGAACGTTTGAGCAGTAGCGTCCAACCCCTATTCACCCTGCTCGATGCAGCAGAGGGCGCCGTTTAGTATCCTCTGCGACGGCCAGAGCATCAGGGAGGTTTGAAGAAAAACTC